GCCCCTTATTTACTATAAATTGAATAAAAAATAAATCTTAGGAAAACTTCCTAACTGGTGTGGGATAGCCTTGGAAGCTTGGGTTGCGAAAAGGAATGCTTCTAGTTAGATATCTGGGACTCCAATTAATATCAACCAAATTGACCTTTTGGAGTCTACAAATTGGTGACGGAAATGGAGAAAAAAGAATTATATCTTGGAAGAACGAGTATCTTTCATTTGCTAGCTGAGTGTAATTACTTCTATCTTATTCCATTTTATTACAGCATATTGTAGGAATTTTATTTTGAATGGCTCCTATGATGGTAAGGGTATGTCCATGGTAGCATGGGAGTCAATTTGTTTGTTTACCTAGGAGTAAGATAGGGTTTTGGTATCAAACAAATGAGAATATATATGGAATGCTGTTGTCGTGACTGATAACATTTGGACTACAACGTTAGAACTAGCCTAATATATGGGTAATTGGGCAAAAACTATGCCATTGAAAGGGTTAAATATTTGGCACGCACCCATCCCTTGAAACATTGCTTGGTCTTTGGAAGAAAAAATGTAGAAAATATGTTGAAAACCATATTTGGATGAAGGTTGGAGATGGGAGACCGATCTCCCCCTTTTATGATACTTGGTTAAAATGTGGCAAATTGGTTAGCTTGAGACACAAGGGGGAAGTGAGGGTGTGCGGGAGATTGTATCTGACTGGTGGAATAGCGATGAATAGCATATCCCTTCTAGTTTCCAAAGAGCGTATTCTATGCTTACTGATTACAATTAGAAGACTAAATTGAATGCTAAATATGATAAAGTTGTATGGCAACCAAATAGACAAAGCTTTTCTATTAAGTCTTGTTTTAGAGTACTGAGGGTTAAAGGTGAGTTGGTGAATCGATATAAGATCACTTGGGTGGCTAGCTATTGTGTTCGTAGGCATAGGATTTATTTTATTTATTTATTTATTTTTTCTATTGATTAAGAACAAGCTAAAAACTACGGTGCTCTTAGCTACAAGAGGGACACAAATTGAGTTGGCTTGTGTTTTCTGTGATTGTCTAGAGGAGTCATCCTCTCACCTACTCTTTGAATGCATTTTTATTAATTTAGTATGGATCGAGCTTGCTATTACAATACTTTTGTATTTTTAGACAATCTTAGTCTTGGTATAGAGAATGGAGATGGCTAGAGAGAGTATGTTGAGGCAAGAAGCTTTATGGTAAGAGAATGAAAACAACATTATTTGTTACAGTTTACACTATCTGGTGAACATGGTAGATGTACACCATCTATTGTTAGGTTGAGTTAGAGGTAAATATATTGGTAGATGGTTTGGAATTGATGGGCTGATGGGATGATATTCATAGTGACCTTGTAATTTTATGGGTTTAAAATACCCCTTGTAATTATTATTATTATTTTTTTGTCAAACTTATACTTTTAATTAATAAATGTGTTTTTTTATTGTGCAAAAAACAAAAAAGCTTTATCATAATATAAATAAATAAATCTCAATTTTAGCTCATGTCTTGATTTATAAACTCACTTCATTACAAAACCAGAAAAGATAAAGCCCCTCATGGATTCTTTCATTCCTCATTTATGATCTTTTTATTTTTGATAGATTGTATTTGACTAGTGGAACAGTGATGAATGGCATATCTCTTCTAGTTTCCAAAGAGCTTATTCTATGCTTACTAATTACAATTAGAAGACTAGATTGAATGCTAAGTACGATAAAGTTGTATGGCAACCAAAAAGACAAAGCTTTTCTATTAAGTCTTGTTATGGAGTTACTGAGGTTAAAGGTGAGTGGGTAAAGAGGCATAAGATCATTTGGGCTAGCTATTGTGTTCTTAGGGATAGCTCTTTTTTTATTTTTTTTGGGGTGGTGGGGTGTTGTCTTTTGCTATTGATTAGGAACAAGCTAAAAAATAAGGTGCTCTTTGATATAAGAGAGACAAAAATTGACTCGGCTTGTGTTTTCTGTGGTTATCTAGAGTAGTCATACTCCCACCTGTTCTTTGAATGCATTTTTATTAATTAAGTATGGATTGAGCTTGCCATTACAATACTTTTGTTTTTGTTGGACAACCTTAGTCTTGGTATAAAGAATGGAGATGGCGGGAGAGAATATGCTGAGGCAATAAGCTTTATAATAAAAGAATGAAAACCACACTGTCTATTATAGTTTACACTATTTGGTAAACATAATAGATGTATATCATAGATTATTAGATTGAGTTTGATGTAAATATATTGGTTGTATCCTCAAGTATGCTTAGGGGTTTTTTTTTTTTTAACAAGTTTACAATTTTAAGAGTAAGAGAATTCGAATCTCAACTCCTAATATAAGGGATGTACTTTATAAGTTGGTTTATAGTCATTACATCATCAGTTTCAGGTGTATATTTAGAAGTATCTTATATAGTTTTTTGACATTAAATGAAATGAATTGAATTTTCCTGTTAATAATCCTCTTTCCTGTAGCTAAACTTAGCCATTTTAGCTTACAAATCATATTATTTGGTTTTAACTTTTTGAGAGATCTTTTCTATTATAAAAGGTTTTTATTTTATTTTATTTTAAACGAAGGGAATTTTGGGAATGAGGAAGACTTGACATAAAATTTAAGATATTGCTATCCTAATACCTACCAAAAAAAAAGAGTAACCAAGATGCCACTTAGTGTCAAACATCAAAAGTTATTTTTATTTGAAATACAAATTTTTGAACGTAATTTTTTTAACAGTAGCGAAAAGTAATTCAGTATGATATACTATATTGATATAATATTGACAATATTGAGATAAAGTACTTAGTTGATTATGTTGGGTGCCTATAGTCTGCAGTTGTGGTATAATTAAAATCATTGCACACCTATTATTAAGCTATACAATAATGAGTAACTTACCTCAAATCATTCTGAATTGTCCTAAAATTCAAAATCAAGGCTTCTGATGAGAAAATTCAAGCTAACACCAAGACATTGCCTATCGTACACCCATTCTTGACAATTGATAAACTGAAAGCTTGTTGATTTGATAGAGGGGAGCAGAGGGAATTATAGAAAAACATATTTCATTGAATTAAAATTAAAATTAAAATTAAAATTTAACATGTTTAACTCGAACCAAACAAGTTCTAACTTAATGGACATTGGGTTTCTGACGCTCTGCGGGTTTGAGAGTCGTTTTCTGCATCCTCGGCGGTGCCCCTGTTGGGCTCGCCTTGGCTTTCCTCTTCTCCTCCAAATCCCTTCTGTTTTTCGCTTGTCTTTCCTATCTTTGAGTATCGCTTTTTCTGACTTCAATTTTCAAATTCCTAGAATGTTTGCTGTGTTTTTCTCCTACCCAATCTCTAGCTCTAAATCCTCAACCAATCTTCTATTCAAAATCATCCATTTGGCAGTTCGTAGTTTCTATTTCTTGCAAATTTACTCAAAGCGAGTTGCCTTGGCTCTTAAAGTCAATGGATACCTCAACTTTGGAGATATAAGTGCTAAAGTATTAAAGCTTGGGTTTGGGCGACCTGCATACTCATCAAATTTCATCAAATTATAGGATGGATTGCTGGATTTTGAAGGTGACTTATCTATTAGAAGACCCTCTTACTCAGTCTTGCTATTCTTGCCTTGTGGTTCGTAACATTAATTTGCAGATTTAGAAATTAGGGTTTAGAAGAGATGATCGTCAATTCCCATTGTCCTTTTGTGATTTTCAAGTTTGGTGCCTAAAGTGTGACGATTGTGGATCTAATTTTCAAATTGATTATATGGTTAAGTGTTCTGATGCTTTTGGTTGGTTTTGCCAAGTTTATCTTGGTTTGGAGAATTCGGTTTTCTTTGTTTATATCTTAGTTAGTATAGTAAAATGTAGAAATAATCTAAAAATAATGCTATGTTATGTCACTGGTTTTTCTCTATTATTGCTTTGTTAAGGGGGAGGGGTAGGGCTGGGCATTTTTTAACCGAATGTTTACCCAAAAATCGAACTGAAAAAATGAATTCGGTTCGATTTCAATGGTTTTTGGTTTTATTTTTTTGGTTTTAGTGTTAACCGAATATATTTTGGTTCGGTTTTGATTGAGTCTCTCAAAAACCAAAAACCAAAAATAAACTGAAAATAAGTCATTTAAAAACTAAAATTAAGATAAATATGATAAAATAT